ATAAAAGCGTTGCTTTCGTCTTGTGAATTTTTCATTGCTTTAATGAACTGTTTGACCAAACCAAGCTTAATATGCAAGGGTGGGAGGATGACTTTATTTGCAGGTATAAGACTTTCGTGTAAAACATTTTTATTACCTGGGGTCAAATTTTGTCGAAGTGGCCATTCTTTTCTCACATAGTGTTGATCTCGGGCACGGCTATCCCATTCACAAATGAAACATGGATATTTCGTGAAGCCACTTTGTTGACCCAACAAAATTGTTGTTATTTTCAAATCTCCAACCAACTGCCACCCGTGAGTATCATAATGCAATTTCTGTAGCAGTAAATCGAGATTAGTATATTCCTCTTTCAAGACAATGGAATGACCAATTGGTATAGGGGCGTATATGTTACCGTTATGGAGTAAAACTGCTTTCAAGCTTCTCGTAGAAGAATCAATAAACAGACGCCAATCAATAGCTTCATACTCTACGTTTCCAAATTCATTTATCAGTCCTGCAACGTCGTTGCAATAAACTAAATCGCATTCTTTCGAAAAAAATTTTCTAAATTGTTGATCACGATTTCGGTAAAATGTGATGGAAGTACCAGGAGCCAGACAATTTTTTTCTTTCAATCTAGATGCTAATAGTTCCGAAAGTTCTTTTGAAAGTCCTGTGTCTCGAACTAAGAATGATTAAACGCATGAAATGTCTGGTCTTGCTCATCATCTTCTGTATCTTCCATTTTATCAGTGCAACCTCTTCTACTTGAACCCTCTCCCATTGATTCTTCTGTTTGCATTTCTAAAATCTCAGGTTCTTCAGCATCCAAGGTGGCGAGAACAGGAAGAGTTACAGACGTAACGAATGGATAACGTAATTGGGATACATTTTTACGATTATATCCACGTGTATCAGTCAAACAGAAGTAACAGTCTGTATTATGATCTGTCGGATTACGCCAAATCATTGGCGAGATGTATTGCGATATTTTCTGGTGCAGTTGTATCTTACATTTTAAACATATAGTTTTTGGAGTCCAACAGTTGTTTATTTGTTCAGTGATTAAAGGGAAAACTATTTTATAATTTTCTAGCAGTTTATCAGTGAAAGATTCTCTTTGAGTTTTAAAACAAAATTTACCACAAACAACACAAAAGTTGTCAATACGCTCTTTGCATGGTGCCAATTCTATTCTTGTAGCAGTAGATCCTACACAGGCCAAGTTATCCACCAGTGTAGAACTGGAACTGCGGTCGCATGATGACGACGATTGCGGGCCCGCTTGCTCACCCCGACCAACCGCCGATACTGGGCATCCGAAACCCTGCATCGTACTCTTTCGTGTGCCGACCATGACGGCATAATGCCTTCACCCCAGGGCTTTGCCGGAAAACAAAAAAGACAAAAAAAGCCGTTACCCGCCGCCACCACGAGGAGGTGCCCTGGGTTTTGGCACACGAATACAATGTCCTCGCCACCTTGGATGCTAAAGAACCTGAGATTTCGATCAGTAGAAATGTGTCCGATGTAGGTGCTGAGAATATAGAAATGCAAACAGAAGAATCAACGAGAGAGGGGCCAAGTAGAAGAGGTTGCACTGATGGAATGGAAGATATAGAAGATGATGAGCAAGACCAGACATTTCATGCGTTTAATCATTCTTAGTTCGAGACACAGGACTTTCAAAAGAACTTTCGGAACTATTAGCATCTAGATTGAAAGAAAAAAATTGTCTGGCTCCTGGTACTTCCATCACATTTTACCGAAATCGTGATCAACAATTTAGAAAATTTTTTTCGAAAGAATGCGATTTAGTTTATTGCAACGACGTTGCAGGACTGATAAATGAATTTGGAAACGTAGAGTATGAAGCTATTGATTGGCGTCTGTTTATTGATTCTTCTACGAGAAGCTTGAAAGCAGTTTTACTCCATAACGGTAACATATACGCCCCTATACCAATTGGTCATTCCATTGTCTTGAAAGAGGAATATACTAATCTCGATTTACTGCTACAGAAATTGCATTATGATACTCACGGGTGGCAGTTGGTTGGAGATTTGAAAATAACAACAATTTTGTTGGGTCAACAAAGTGGCTTCACGAAATATCCATGTTTCATTTGTGAATGGGATAGCCGTGCCCGAGATCAACACTATGTGAGAAAAGAATGGCCACTTCGACAAAATTTGACCCCAGGTAATAAAAATGTTTTACACGAAAGTCTTATACCTGCAAATAAAGTCATCCTCCCACCCTTGCATATTAAGCTTGGTTTGGTCAAACAGTTCATTAAAGCAATGAAAAATTCACAAGACGAAAGCAACGCTTTTATGTATCTCTTCGAGAAATTTCCAAAACTTTCGGAAGCAAAGATCAACGAAGGAGTCTTTGATGGTCCACAAATAAGAGAACTATTACGAGATGAAGAATTTGAAAGAAGAATGACGATAAAGGAACGCAACGCGTGGCAAAGCTTTAGAGAAGTTCAGCATAAATTTTTAGGAAATAATAAAGACGACGATTACGAAGATATAGTAAATGAGATGTTGGGTAATTACAAAATAATGGGTTGCTTGATGAATTTGAAAATTCATTTTCTTCATTCTCATCTTGATTACTTTCCTGAAAATTTAGGAGACTTTAGCGAGGAGCAAGGAGAGAGATTCCACCAAGACTTCAAAGACATCGAAAGAAGATATCAAGGCTATTGGGATGTGAACATGATGTCAGACTATTGTTGGTCTCTTAAAAGAGACACTACTACTCCACACAAAAGAAAAGCGCTCCGCAGATCGTTTGCTAATAAAAGAACGCGTCATTCGTAAATCTTTTTGATCGACATCACTATCTGAAATCAAGTCTATATATCAAGCTAGGTGAATTTTAATTGCTGGAATCGATTGGCAATATCCGCGCGAGAAAACCATAAAGAGAGCTAACACAACCATGAACTAAGTTCTCACCGTAACTCATATTTGAATTTGAGACCGAGGATCCTCAGATTTTGATTTAGCGCGTCGAAATACCTAAAGATACGTGACCAAATTATAGTTAAAAATCTGTAGTATAATGATGTATATGGAATACATGAATTTTATCGATCGGTGAGTCATTTGACCTCAGATGACCTTGGAGGGTCATGTTGGAAAAAATAGAAAATACATATTTGGACGTAAAATTTCCCGCTCTTTCCGAATCCGTGGTCAGATTTTATGTTTTTCCGTAGTAAATGCGTTTGACCTTCAAATGTCCTTGAACACGACGTGCTGGGGTTATTTGGACCTCGGATTTGGATTCAGCGCATCGAGAAACCTAAAGATACCTGACTCATTTGTACGCATGTCTTTAGTTGTGATGATGTATGTGGGAAATACGAATTTGATCTATCGGTGAGTCATTTGACCCTCAGATGACCTTGGAGGGTCATGTTGGAAAAAATAGAAAATACATATTTGGACGTAAAATTTCCCGCTCTTTCCGAATCCGTGGTCAGATTTTATGTTTTCCCGTAGTAAATGCGTTTGACCTTCAAATGTCCTTGAACACGACGTGCTGGGGTTATGGACCTCGGATTTGGAATCAGCGCGTCGAAATACATATAGGGTATCAATTTTGCCGAAGGACTTTTTCCGGTTCCCATTTGTGGTCCTGTGTTATCGCTTATTGTACACCATTCCCACGATGTATTCCAACCGTATTATTATGTTGCACTAACATAATTAAATAAAGAGAATTACTATAACACTTAATAATCTTGGGTTGGTTATTTATTTAAACTTAATTCAATCATACTTAAAAAATTGTTGAATTGATAACAAATTAAAAGTAAGAATAAAATTTTTCCAATCTGTAAACTAGCGATCATGTATTAATATATTTATTGGATTGCCTCATGTGTATGTATATATCTCTGAATGTAATTTTAATAAAAATAAATTATATACTTTTGAGAACTGCTTCTGTTCACTTTTAATCCGTATTGATTTCTTAATACTAATTACTTATTGTTAGTATATGCATTAATTACTTGATGTTGTAGATCGAAGCAATACAAAGATGTGGTTATTACGGAGAGAAGAAGCGTAGAGAAGAGGGAGAGACGTGTAGAGTATTTTTGAGGTTGGTAATGACGAGCACATGAAAGTTGGCTTAATTCATATAGCACGGAACCAACAAGGTAATTACATGGCTCCAGGCCCCTAACTAAAGGTCACTTGTTACTTTGAAATTGCTTGCGGCCCCAAACAAAGTCTACTCTGTTACTTAGAGAGTCCTCGTTACACGCCAATATCTTATTGGTATTGGTCACGCAACTAGGCAATGTGAAAGCGGCCCTTTTATACTCGGAACAGTTTACAACACCTTTAAAGTCGTGCGCGATAAGTGCTCTCCCTCTCTCTTTCCATATTTCCCTATTAGACATCAGCGGCGGAATTAGATGACAATTAGCCATAAGTATGGGTTAGATTTTGTGAACGATCGCAATCGACGGAAATCGACCGGGACGTCAGATGAATTCTTAGTTCCATGCGAGTGCTGGTCAAACCATTGGCATGTATGTAATCAATATTTATGCAAGTAAACCGATTTTATTTAACATACGTTTTTAATTTAAAAATTTTCCTACTAATTACTACTAATTCCAACTATTGCGCAGAAGGTGAAGGAAAAGGCAAGAAAAGCTCGGAAAACAGGCTCCTGTCGGGAGAGGTCACTGTCGAGCGCTCCCTGTCGGCCTCTCTCTAAGGCATCAGCGATCGGCCCTGCCGCACGCCGGTAGCGGTAGGGCGCTGGGTGCACGCTTGTTCCAAATATCCCGCCCGCCTCGTTCCGGGAACGACTTCATTTGATGGGACTGCTGCTGTCGACGAACTGGAAGTGTCTTGGATAGGTAGCCGAGCGACCTTGACGATGGGTCGAGTATACTCGCCAGTGGCGGTTTTAACGGTGACCGTTCTCATGAGGCCATCTGATCCAGGCATGGTGGCCGTCACGCGGCCAAAAGGCCATCAGCCGTCCGGTCGAAGCAGAGTGGGGTCGAGGAGGATGACAAAATCTCCGACTTCGAGGTTAGGCTGAGGAGATTTCCATTTTGACCTCTGGAGGAGTGTATTCAGGTACTCCCGACTCCAGCGGGCCCAGAAGTGGCTCCTCATGGACTGAACGAGCTCCCAATGACTAGCTCTATCTAGGGGCTGGCCGGCACTGCTAATCTGAGGATAAGAGGTGGCTAAAGTCCCGATGAGGAAGTGACTAGGAGTGAGGGCCTCGATGTCATCGAGGTCACCAGCAGGCGGAATAAGCGGGCGGCTGTTCAGAGTAGCTTCGATGGAAACTAGAAGAGTGGTGAGCTCCTCGTAAGTGAGGCGGCGAGGAGAGGCCACCCGCATCAAGTGTCTCTTCATTGACTTGACACCGGCCTCCCACAGCCCCCCGAAGTGCGGTGCCGAGGGCGGAATGAATTTCCACGAAGTTCCGTCCTTGGCGAGTTCGCCCTCTACGAAGCCCCAGTCGATTTCGGCCTCTCGGAACAGACGTCTCAGCTCCAATGCAGCTCCTCGAAAGTTGGTGCCATTGTCACTCCAAACTTCAGCTGGTCTCCCACGCCTCCCGACAAACCAAGTAAAGGCTCCTAGAAAACTGGCTGTGGTGAGGTCGCTGACGAGCTCCAGGTGCACTGCCTTTGTGCAGAGGCACACAAATAGCGCAACGTAACCTTTCAACGTGGCAGTGCCTCTCCCTTTGTTGCGGCACATGGAGAGCGGCCCGGCGTAGTCAACCCCGCACTTGGAGAATGGTCGAGCGGGGGTAACTCTGACCGGTGGTAGAGCGGCCATTTGTTCGGAGGCAGAGCTTGCAGTCAGTCGAGCACACAGTGTGCAGTGGTGTATGAACCTCTTGATGCGGACCCGGGCTCCGGTGATCCAAGCTCGTTGGAGAGCACGAGAGTAGGTCGCTCGAAAGCCCCCCGTGGAGGCAGCGCTCGTGGGCCCAGCGGATAACGAGCTGAGCGAAGGCGGACTTCCCGTGGAGTAGTATTGGGTGTCTCTCGTCGAAAAGCAGAGGCGACCGAGCGAGCCGTCCCCCGATTCGAACTACCCCGTCGCCACTGATGAAAGGCTCCAGCGACTTGAGTTGGTGGCATCCTTGCAGAGAGCCGTCTTTACTGAGACGAGCTAACTCTTCGGCGAAATGTCTACGCTGCGAGATCTTGGCGCAGACGACGAAGGCATGCCGGAGCTCATTGGCGGTAACCGGTGCGAGAAGGCCTTCTTGGCATCTCAGGATGCGAATGGCCCGGGCCGTGCCTCTCAGAAGAGCGCCCAGCGACGAGAACCTCTCAATGTAGTCCGTTTCGGTAGTGATCTTCGCACAAGCTGCGATGAGGCATGGCGACGTGGTCGCGAGAGGGACTGTTTCCTCCTCCTTGGGCCACTCGCTCGTCGGACGAGGGAGCCAGGCGGGACCTTTCCACCAGAGAGGGTGGTGAGCCAGCTGGGTGGCGTCTATCCCGCGGGTGGCGACGTCTGCGGGATTGCAATCGGTTGGCACGTGATGGAAGGCAACTCCCTCAGCGAGTTCCTGAATGTGTGCCACGTAGTTGTCAATGAGGTCATGACCGACTGGGCTGTCCGAGTGTAGCCAGTGAAGAGCCACCTGGGAGTCGCTCCACAGATGGCAGCTCGTCAGTGGAACGGAGAGGGCGGCTGCGGCGTTCCTTAAGAGCTGCGCCGCGATGAGCGTGGCTCTCAGCTCCAGGCGTGGGATCGTCATTCTGGCGCGCTTTTCGGAAGCCGGCATAAGGCTCTTGATCGAAGCCAGCTTGGACTTGGCGCCGATGATGGTCGTGAATCCTCGCCCGCCGTTCTCGGCCGCTCGAGAGTAGACCACGGCGGCTAAGACTCGGCGACTTGCATCTGAGAATGCGTGGAGCTGGAGCTCCTGGCCGGGGAAATGGCTAATCCAGCGGCTGATGGCAAATCCCGTCGTTTCGTGGATGTTCGTCCGGAATGTGAGCTACTTGTCGGTCCAAACCTTGGGCAGATCCTCGTCCCAATATAGCTTGGCTCGCCACATGTCCTGGATGAGAAGCTTGGCCACGAGAGTAAGCGGTGTGAGCCAGCCGACGGGGTCAAAGATCCCGGCAAGTTCTGCCAGCGCTGTCCTGTTGGTGAGCCGGGGAGATGTCTCGGGGTTGCCGGGGCCGAATTTGAAATTATCCTCCACCGGGTCCCAGGCCACGCCGAGCTCTCGGACCGGCCCCTCGGCAAACAGCTGTACCCAGCTGGGCCGGATTCGATCGTCGGGGGAGATCTCCTCGAGGAGAGCAGGGTCGTTGGCTACCCATTTGCGCAGGTGGAACCCGCCCGCAGCGAGGAGGCCGATGAGTTGGTCTCTGATATTCTCGGTGGTGTCTAGATCATGGCCGCCGCTCAGGAAGTCGTCCATGTAAAGGTCTTGCTGTAAAACCTCTCGTGCGAGCGGGAACTTTTCGCCCTCGTCGTCGCTTAGCTGTTTCATCGTGCGCAAGGCCAAGTAGGGTGCGCAAGCGGTGCCGTAGGTGACCGTGCGTAGGGCGTAGTGCTGCAGCGGCAGGCCGGCGGTGGGGCTCCAGACGATGCGCTGAAGGTGGATGTCTCGGTCGTCTATGAGTACTTGACGAAACATCTTCTGCACGTCTGCGCAGAAGACGTATCGGTGCCTCCTCCAGCGGGTTAGTATGGTGGAGATGTGCCCTTGCAGTTTTGGGCCGGCATGGAGGGCGTCGTTGAGACTGATTCCGGAAGAGGTGGCTCGAGAGGCGTTGAAGACGATCCTGAGCTTAGGGCCGCTGTCGCTGCGCTGCCAGATGCCGTGGTGCGTAACGTAGTAGACGGTGCTTCTGTTCTCCTGAAGTTCCGACTCCGAGAGTAATCTTATGTGGTCCAGTCGAACGTACTCCTCCATGAACTCCTGGTAACTCTCGCGCAGCGTTGGGTCGGCGAGCATTCGCCTCTGCATAGAGAAGAGGGCGGAGCGGGCATGGAGTAGGCTGTCACCGAGCAAGGTGGCGCGTTCGGGCTTCAGCGGCAGCCGAACGACGTATCGTCCGCTTGTCTCGCGACGAACGCCTCGCGCGTAGATCGCTTCGCACTCTTGGTCAGCCGTGGAGATCCTCCTCGCGACCGGCACTTCCTCGAGATCCCAGAAGCGCTGAACTAGTGTGAGCAGTTCTTAGTGACTCAGATCGCTCGTGGCGCGAGCGGAGACGGCGTGGGTCTGGATGCTTTGACGGACGTCACTTGCCTGTTTGAAGTGAGCGGAGCCCATCACGGTCCAGCCGAACGACGTGTTCTGGGCGACAAGCTGTCCGAATCTCCTCGTGCCGGTTCTGATGATGCGGTGGTAGATGTCTGCCCCTATCACGACGTCGATCCGGCCTGGTCGGTGGAAGGTCGGGTCTGCGAGCAGGAGCTTACACTTGAGCAGAGACAGTTTTGGGCCGGGCATTGCCGAAGGAGTAATGATGCCGAGCGAGCGCAGAACGAAGGCCCCCATCTTGATCGGAGGGCCGCCGGAAGGCTCGACGATGTAGACAGTCGCCTGATGTCTGGCTGAGTCCATAGCTGGACCGGTAACCCCGGTAATGCTGGCGTTCGTGCGGCGGAGTTGGCAGCCGAGTCTGCGGACGAGGTCGAGGCTTATGAGAGTGGCCTCTGAGCATGGATCTAAGAGCGCTCGGGCAAGCTCTCTTCTTTCCCCGCCGCTGCTCATAGGGACGAGGGCGGTGGGGAGGACGGCCAGTCATGCGGAACCGTCGTCTCTTGGGGATGGTGTGCTGGTGGCAGCCGTCTGGAGCTGCGTAGTCGGTGTCTCCCTCGAGGTCGATGGGCGAGGCTCTTCTTCCCCTCATCTGGATCTTCCAGCGCCCTCGTGGATGAGGGTATGATGCGCTCCGGAGCAGCTTCGGCAGGTGCCGCTGGAAGGGCAGTTCCTGGCGGTGTGGCTCCCGCTGAGGCAATTATAACAAAGACCCCGAGCGGCCACAAGTTTCCGTCGCTCCTCAGGGTCGAGGCCTCGGAAGGTGAAACAATGGCCGATGTAGTGGGCCTCCTTGCAGGCTGGGCATCCTCCCTTCACTCGAGACGCTCCAGTAGCGTGGGCGCGTATGGTCAGGGTGTCTGCGGGTCTCGAAAACTTCCGTTTCTCGGCCGGGGGGTGAGAGGAAGTGCTGAGGGTTTGACCCAGAGCCCTCAGTGTGCAGTGGCGCCGCTGAAGAAACTCGGCGAACTCTTCAAAGGTCGTTTCAACTGTTAATAGCTCCGCGCCACGTGCCTGCTGCTTTATGTGTTCCTCTCAGGCTCGCATGGATACTGAGACCAGGGCGCGGCACCCCATGTAGACGAACCAGTCACCCCAGGCTCCGACTGGCCGACCGAGCCGCTCGAGTTGCGTGCGGCGCTTGTTTAGCTCGTCCAGCAAAGTCTGAAGGCTCTCCGGCGATTCCTCGGCGATGGGCGTCAGCTTCACCAAGGCGGCGAGATGGTCCTTCACCTGCAGGCGCGGCTGGTCATAGCGTCGACATAATGCCTCCCAGGCCTGCGCATAGTCGCCGTTGACCGAGCGGAAGGGCGCCAGTGCATCCTTGGCCACTCCTTCGACGTGCGTCTTGAGGTAGTTCATCTTCATGGCGATCTCCAGCGTGCTGTTGTTGTGCACGAGATCGAGGAACAGATCCCTGAACGACTCCTAGTCCTCAGGCTTTCCTAAGAAGGTGGGTATGGAGAGGCGCGGCAGCTTCACGGCCGGGACTGTCGGATCCGAGACAGCCTCCGAGGAAGTAGCAGTCAACGATGAGCGGTCTTCAGACGCGATGCAGCGGACGTGGTGGTCCAGGAGAGTGCTCTTGCTCTCCATGAAAAGCTCCTCGGCGACCGCGTAGTCATTGCCTGCCAAGTATTCCAAGACGGCGGCCTCCGATGAAGTCAACAGTCGGCCATGGTTGCCGTTCAGATTGTTCCAGTAGCCCTCGAGTAGATCTAACCGAGTCTCGATGGCGCCGAGAGTCCGAGAGGCTGTCGGCGTGTCAGCTACCTTTTCGGCGATCCGACGGATGGCCTTTCCAAGCTCCCGCTGGACTGGGATGAGCATCATCTGTGAGAGAGGAAGTCGTGTGAGAATCAGGATGAGTTGGGCGGGCTCGCGCGGACAGCCAAACTGTCACCCGAGGCCGACCTTCCAGCACTCGGGGCCGCGCGCCGTACCGGCTCACCCGGCCCGCAGTTGGGTCCGCCAAGCGCAGTCGACATGATGCCTCGATCGGCCAGCCCGATGGCTTGTCGCGCGCTCGGCGGTCCGCCTGCCGTCGTGTGCTCGAGGGCCTGTAGTTTCGTCGGCTGCCGCGCCGCAGCGCCTCGTCAATGCGTCGTTCTGAGCGTGAAATATGGTGGGCTCTTCTTCGCGCCGCTGGGTCTGCCCAGGCACGCTGTCGTCGAAAGAGAGAGAAAAGGGGGGGGGGGGGAATTCATCGGCTGCATCGGCAGGCGCGGCAGAGGTGTCGGCCGTTGCGTCGTCCTCGCATCCGATGGTCCACCCCCCCAGTTGCCCCCAGTGCGCGCGCCCAGGCAGGACCCCGCGTGCACGAAGACCTCGTGTGGGCGACGGCTCGCCCGGTGCCCGCCGTGCCGAGTTGATGCTATCATCGTCGAACGCCGCCCGCTGCGACGCCCGCTCTGTATGCCGGCGGTTCCTCACGCGACTCAAGTGTTCACAGCCGTGGCGCTTGTTGTGCCGAGTCGGTGGTCGCCGTCGCGCGCTACTCGCCCAGACGCCATATTTGTGATTCGCTGGGCCGTCGCGTAACCCAGGAGTTCGTCGACGGCAGCCGCCCGCCGTGACGCTCATATTCATTAACGAATGACCCGTGATCCGGTTCTCTGTTGAGCCTTGCGCAATGCTGCGCAGTTGGCTTCCTCTCTGCCCGCACCAGAGAGGCTTGAGGACGAGATGGGCGTCCGCTATTGCACTTGGATAGTTTGAGTTTACTCACCGTGAATTTCCTCTTTTGGCTGGAATCCGGCTCGAAGGACCAATGTTGCGCAGAAGGTGAAGGAAAAGGCGGGGATGTTTCGATTCGGTTTATTTTGCTTAACTCAAATCGGATTACACTCTGAACAAATGTGACACGTTCTGGAGAGCACTTGATCGTCAGTCCGTCGAGGCGTTCAGGACAAAAGAAAAGCTCGAAAAACAGGCTCCTGTCGGGAGAGGTCACTGTCGAGCGCTCCCTGTCGGCCTCTCTCTAAGGCGTCAGCGATCGGCCCTGCCGCACGCCGGTAGCGGCAGGGCGCTGGTTGCGCGCTTGTTCCAAACACCAACTGTCAAATCAGTGCATTAACTCTATCTTGAACAAATCCAGAACGTTCAGCGTCTTTTGTGTTTATATGGCCACTCCAAAAATTTAGAAACCACTTTTAAACCATTCTAATCGAATGTGCGTAATCACCATTATATTTATCAAGCTTCTGTTTAATCTCCTGAGATGTTTTGCCTTTAATAAAGTAATGTTTAATCAACATATAAAAATGTTTTTTATACATTTTTTCACAACCACTCGAGTTCTTTGATTAAAACGAATGTTAAACAAGTAATAGATCGATATTACTGACACTTCATGCATGCTCTTCCAAAATATGTTACTAACTGGAAATAACCTCGATACACAGCAGTAGCACCATCTCTCTGACTTTGCACGGTCTTTTCCAACGACACTCGTATTAGAGCATTGAACATCTTCTATGTACTTTATTAATATACCAAATATTACAAATGTGCTTCCATATATAACTCACATATTTTTTTCTTATTTTAAATGAATAAGGTTATAATCATTACTTTCAAACCTACATAAACATTGTTATTTTCACAATTTTTTTCATTATTACTATCAGAACCGTGTAATTTGTTATGATATAAAGTAAACTTACAATTTAATAAGTTATGGAAAGAATTTGAAAGTTATTTATAGCATTCGTGCCGTTCTTAGATAGATTCCACTACATTTAAAATTTAAAAAAACAATATTTAAGTCAAATTCATATAAATACTTGTTTAAAAATGAAGTAATGAAGTTACTATTTAAAACAGTTATTTTAGAAAGTAAAACAATATATAAATACAGAAAAATCATTAAAATTACTTTATAAAAAATTTTTTATGATATTGAAATAATATTTATAATATAATGTATTTCAAAATATTAGTAAATATAATAATTGAGACTGTTAAAAAAGTATTCATGTAACTTTTTATTTTGTTAAAAGTGTTTTTTTGGAAATTATTTCAACATAAGCTACAGTTATTCTTAGTAACGAAAATAGGAGTTTATTATAACAATAATATAATAAAATAATAATACAAATCCATATAATCAAAGGATCATTAAAATAGACTCAAGACAACAGTTGACAGCGGTTGGTTAGTTAAAAAGATTTATTATAATTTACGAAATCAATCACTGACTTTTTGATGCTTTAATTTATTCTAAAAATATGTGAAGAGAGATTTCTGGGGATTTAGGCCGCGCACACGAAAACTGTCACTGTCATAGCGGCTTTCGGTGACTCATTTCCGTGACTAATTATTAATGGGCGCCAAACTACCGATCCTGGTTACGGTAGTCGTTGGCAATTCGAGTCAGAATTAACTGGGCTCGAAGTGAGGCGAAAATAATCGAATAATACAAAAAATAGAATTAGATCTCAACTTCACTTTGCTTTCTTTATTTCCATGATTATCTATACTTAGGTCAGGGAAATGGCGGTTGGAGGGCTCGATTCGATCTAATTATCCAAAGCAGCGGCAGCGGATCCACATACCCCGGCGAACTCGAATAACACGATTAATTTCTCACAGGGCCACACCTAGTTTTTATGACGATGTGAGACACTTAATTTATCTGCTGGTACTTGGGTCCCAAAAAAAAGAAAACTTGGATGTTCTTCCTACAACTGGGCGATAAGATGTCCGATAGCAAAATGGACGAGTGGCGTCTTTTCGCGAAAGAGGATCGTCGTCTTCCCTTTATTCCGAGAAGAACTCAGTTTATTGATCGATATGCAAATTCGAAAATTAGCAGCGATCTCCTATTATTTTCTATCTCATCGCTATTTACCCACTCCCCCACTAAGTCCGTCAACATTAATTCGTGCAAGTGATCTACCCCAACTCTTATCTTATTTTCGATGCGAACAGAAATTAGAACTCATATTAATTTTTCTATTGGTCTACTATATTTCTGATACCACTAGTGCGTTTTGTAAGAAAATTACAATTTCGTCAGTTAACTATATCGATATTAATGGTTTCGTTGATTGCAGCTTCTAAGAAAGCATACAGCATTTTGAAAGGTCACATACGAGGTCTGTTCAAAAAATATCGCGAATTTTGTATGTTTTCAAATTTATTTATTTATTCACGAATATCTATTTTTTCTCCTTCAAAGTAATCCCCCTCGGATATAATGCATTTATGCCAACGGTTTTTCCAATCCTCGAAGC